AGTGGCCGAGAGGCTAGAACCAACTCCGGTTCTTCAGGAGGAACCCAAAGTCACAGCAGACTCCCCTCCACCCAACTCTGATCTCCCTCCCTCTCCTCTGACGGTGCCTGATCTGCACAGACACACCATCAAAAGGAAGAAGAGCAAACACAAGCACAGCGATCAGGTTAGGAAACCACTTTGTATTTAGTTTATGGCTTTTCTGTTTCACGTGATCCATTAGTAATTGGGGCTTTTGTTTGTTTGTCAAGGAGAAGGATAAGACGAGAGACAAGAAGAGAAGGAGGAAGGATCACAGCTCAGAGGATCCAAATGATAAAGTGTCCATGGACCGCATAAGTGAGTGCTGTTAGCTGTCGACTAGTAGAGGATTTATTTACAAAATAACTCCTGTCCCATGACGGAGCAAAAACCTTATTCCTATCCTGTCCGAATACTGGAAGAACGACTCATGTTTCTGTCCCCTTCCCGTGTTTAGTCACATTAGAACTGCATATTCAAACTGCTCTATAGAGAGGTGAAGTCCCGCCCATCTACTTCCGACCCATGGGACCTTATTTCGGAAAAATTATGTATTGAAGTCAATGGGGAGAGAAAACTTATCTTTCGATCCCGTTTGAATTGTGCCACGAATTACACATATGATGTTTGTCAATCTTAAAAAATAATTTCCATGTCAAAAAAGTCACAGTTTGTCGTAAAACTGTTGAAATATAAGACTATGAAAAATACGCAACTAGAAAGACTACAAATCCCAGAATGCCGGTCCTGCATGCTGGCCCTTACGGAACCGACTTTGTGTGTGTACAGCTCTCAACACGCCCAGACTTGTAGTGATTTTCACCTCTTTTAATACTTTCCGCCTCATTCAGAAAGAAAGAAGTGAAATGTGCCAACGTGACGGCCGTCTTGGTGTGTGGTGCGAGACGGGAGATGTAGTTCATTGAGCGGTTTCACACAAATAAAAGTGTTACTTTACATTTTTACGACACGTTTAAAAAAAATGTACTTGCAAAATTATCTTTTAAATTGACAAACATCATATGTGTAATTCGTGGCACAATTCAAACGGAATCGAAAGATAATCTTTCTCTCTCCATTCTTGACTTCAATACATCATTTTTCCAAAATAAGGTCCCATGGAGGTCCCCCGGAAAGGGAGGGACTTCGCCTCTCTATTGTTATATTCTACGGAAGAGGATTAGGGCCACATTAATTTTTTTAATGTTTTTTTTTTGCTCTGAGAAAAAAGTCAGAATTCTGACTTTAATCTCAGAATTCTGACTTTTTCCTCTGAACAAAAACAAATCATTTTTTTTGGGAGAAAAAAGTCAGAATTCCTCCCAAAAAAAAAAATCAATGTTTGACATTGTTTCATTTTTCTTTCAGAGCCCAGTGACATTTTGTTTCAATCTAGTGTGCTTCAAGAAGACAATGATGCAGAAGACTATTTACTGTAAGTACACAAACAAGACACAAACCTTTTACTCTTTTACTTACTTTGATCAAATAAACAATTTCTAGATCAAAAAGGTAGTTTATAGTGTTGTATAGGAGATTTTCTGTCCATGATCTCATTACCAACATTGTTTAGCAGTTCAAACCAGACTTTAAGCACAGTATTCTGTAGGTGAGTACTGTACGGTCTGATCCCCGCTCTTTTGTGTTCTCTGCACAGGACGTACACAGCCATTTGCAGCCATGACAGCAGACAGAGCTACAAGCAGGACTTCAACACGGAGTACAGCGAGTACAGAGATCTCCACGCTCGTATTGACGGAGTGACGCGGCAGTTCATGGAGCTGGACGCGCAGCTCAAAGAGCTACACCACGGAACGCATAAATACAAGGTAAAAAACAACAAGAAATGCAGCTCTTAATTGTATGATCTCTGTCAAACGATAGTGCGTTTACATGCTTCAAATTGCTTCAAATTTTGTTTGAGAAACACTCTTATTACTTGCAAGCATATTCTCCATGTTCGAATCTTCATTTCATAAAAATGATAATTGATCATCTCTGTTGCAGAGCACATCACACCCTGAAGTGTTCCTGTGTTGTTCTCACATTTATCAAATGTTATTATTGAATTTCCAACCTCATTTAATTAATATGTGAAGCCATTTCGCAGAACTAAATGGTTTGAAATTATTGTAGAGATGATTTTAGGTTTTGTTTTCCATCATATTCATATTTTTGTGAATGCTGCATAACATAAACAAATAATAAGGCCTAATTCATTCATTCTTGCAGACGGTTCGCAATCAAATTCTTCAGGAGTATCGCAAAATTAAAAAGGTAACACATCTTTGAAAGCAGCTACATCTTCCCTATCTTGCTGCATTGAGGAACTCCACTCGTCTTTTTCATTGTTAAATACTTACACATTTTCCTTATTATTTTTCTCCCTTTTAGTCCAACCCTAACTACAACAAGGACAAGACTCGCTGTGAATATCTACACAACAAACTGGCCCACATCAAGAAGCTCATATCAGAGTACGACCAGCAGCAGCTCTGACTGTTGGACCGGTGAACTCCAGAGAGAACAACAATCATCCTGACGGGTTCACAACGCTGAGCTGAAGCAGAGGACTGAGGTCTGCGGCCTTCACGGCTAAACGTAGTTTCAGAAGTCCTGCTGGAAATGTCCCTGAGGATGGGGATCGTTTGTGCAGAACAGACGTGGAAATATAAGAAGAGCATAACTGTAATATGAGATCTTTTCTTACAAGATTGATGAAATCTTTGAATCCAATCAATGGGCTGCTACTACAGTGAACCAATACTGCCAAGGTCAGAAGGAGTAACAAAGGTTTTATAAAAGCTCCTGAAGCTACAACTGTGTTCTCAATTTAAAAAATGCAATCGGCTTCATGTGGAGATGAGGTGCTAATATAAAAAAATAATAATATGTATATTCCTATAGTGTTTTTGTAAATTAAATCCATGTGTGTGTGTGTGTTGTGTTCTGTCAGCTTTAACATTTAAGAAAGCATGATAACTTCATAATGTAGATTTCCAGACAGAGAACCAGCTGGGAACCGTCCCGAGAAGACGTCTGTACTGTGGGGTAAACTGAGACAGCGTCAGTGTTGTTGTGTCAGTTCTCCTCAGGCCTGATCTTCCCTGTAATCACTCCTGAAAGTATTGCCAGTGCCTGAAATGGTTTCTAATCCCAGACTGGATTCATAGTATTCCACTGGTGTTATCCTTGGGCTTCCCTGGAGGGCTGGAGACTATTATGTTCACCACAGTGTTAACTTAAGATTCAGGGAACTCGCAGGAGGACTACTGGTTTTAATGATCAAAGTACAGAAAGTTACAGAGTCATTGTTACTTGTATGCTGAGAATGTGGTTGCATGCTTTGTGCTTTAAACATGCATGGGATAGAGAAATGTTGTCAGACTTTTAAATAAATTCATTTGTATTCATTTTGTATGATCTATTACTTATTTCAGATATTCCTGTACAAGAACTGTCAGACATATCATGCAGTTATTAATCCAACAATTGAAATATAATTAGGAAGTGGTGTAAATTAACTGAAGTGTATGCTTTAAAGGTCCCATGTCATGCTTTTCCGGTTATTACCCGTCCCCTTGTGTTATGAAGGTTTTTCTGCATGTAAACGGTCTGCAGAGTCACAAACCCTCAAAGTACACCCTGTAGCGAGTAAAACTCTAACACAGAAAATACCTGTCTGTGCTGCCCCAGAACGCCTCGTTGGAGATTTCTCTTTTTCCATTGTTTTCTTCCTGGGTACAGTGACGTGCACACACACACACACACTCAATCTTTTCTCAGCCGCAGCTCCGCCGATTTCTCCTCCCTGAGACGGTGGAACGCGGCGAGGGTGTGTGTGTGTGTGTTCGGGCTGGGTTTAGCTGTGTCTTGCTGTCTCGCAGACGGCCACTGGGCTCATAGGGAGGGGGGGGGGGCAGGATCTCCAACAAGCCGTTTAGGACAGAGAGTGAATACAGAGATGCTGAATGAGAAACCAATGTGATTTTGGAAAAATGCACAATATAAATCTATTCTAGTAGACCTCAACAATGGAATTATGATCAGTAGAAATGGCCATGACATGGGACCTTTAATGTACTGGAATAAAATAGAATCTTAATCTATTCAAACTAGCAACAAACTAGTATATTAAAGTGGCAGAGACAGACCAGCACAAATTAGGGACAGCAAAACGTAACATGTAAATGCTGTTACACAAAGTGTAGATCACTGTGTATGCAAGTGTTTTACAGTAAGAGTTACAGTGATCTTAATCTATGTGTTTTAACCTATTGATGGCCACGCCTTTAGATTATAATGGTGCTAATACTCTCTTACTCGCTTACTGTTTCTCAGGCAGATGCATGAACAAAAAGTTTGTGATGGTCTGTAACAAAATCTCAATTGTGCATTTATCAGAAAATGTCCATATCTTAATATTTTAAGGAGTAGGCCTAATTGTATGTGCATCTCAAAATATCAGTAGTTTTGATTAATAGTTTACTATGTTGTCTGTTAGAGGTAATGTATGTCAAAAATAATAATACAAAATCTCAGCATTTATCACAAATACCCTTGAAATTAGAACATAGTTAAGAATTGGGATTTGATGTTGCAGGATGTAACCGGATGACATTTCAGGAGTAACATATCTGGTGGGGTTAGTCAGCACATGTTTGGTCAGACATTTGCATGCCAGTCATGTTTGATCACTTAAACAGAGACCAAGACATTATAATTAGGACAACATTTAAACAAGCAATAGTTTTTGTTTCCAGTCCAGTCAGCACGTGGGGAGGACAGATACTCCCTCGTGGTGGTATAACATGTGTGAGTCATAAACTACTCTCTCTATAAATCTGACATGAAGTGACTTTGTTTTGCACAGTTATCATTGGCTGCACAGTCAAGATGAAAGGCTCACGGCTATTGGTTCAATCTCAAAGAAGGCTTCTGATTGGTCCATTGTCAAGCTCTACAACATTTCACCTTTCAATAGCAAAACATGCTAGTTTATACACTTACTGTGGTATGTATAAGTAACTTCACTGCCCTTGAACTTTGAGACATATTTCTCACGGAGCTATGACAGGAAGGAGGCGGAGGGATGCAGGTTGTTAGCTGAACGTTTATGGTGAGTAAATAAAAAGATATCGCGCTGAATTCATGTCAAACTGTGTGCTAATTGAGCTAAGCTACTTGTAATGACAGTTATGGTTTAGCTTGTGTAGCTCTCCAGAAATGAACCTTTATTGTTGCTGAAACAGCGATGAAAAGTATTGCCAGTTTGCTGGTTGTTCGTTAACATAATATGTTAATACCTCGTTCTCGGGAAAGCGGTTTGCAAACTGTTTGTTATTTCCTAATTGCATATATTGAAATACAATGGTGCATTCAAAGAACACAAGTAGCCTACATAACACATCATTTTTTCAAATATATCTTTTACTTTTACATACTATGCTACTTTGTTTTTCTGATATTTTCGACATATAATACTATTTTTTTTTTTAATGAGTTTTTTCAACATATTATACCATGTTGTTTTTTGATCGACTTAAGTGAACATTTAACCAGTATCTTTCTTAATATTTATCCCACTTCAGCCTGTTTTGCCACCTTAACTCCAGTCATGGCGGGGATCTTCCAAAGATCACTAAGGCTGCGGACAGCTCTCAGGCATCTGAGCCCCCAAAGCCCCCTCTCATGGGCAGTCACAGGAAGACATACACCTCTGGACCTCCACTGCCCATTCCTGCCCTCCACCTCATGGCAGTTTGCAGCCTGCAGTCGAAAGCTGCACACTGGGGCGGACAGGCCCTCTCCTGCTGCAGCCCCAGACCGGCTGCCTTTCTCCAGGATAACCCAGGAAGATTTAGCCTTCTTCAGGAAGATCCTACCAGGCCGAGCCGTCACAGACCCGGACCTGCTGGAGTCCAGTAATGTGGATTGGCTCAAGTCAGTGAAAGGTGAAAGTGAATTTACCTCATTTCACTTGAAGATTTATTTTCTTGTTGTCATTATCTTTAATTCCTCTGTTCTTACATCGTCTGCAGGCTCCAGTGAATTGTTGCTGAGACCAGAAACAACTGAAGAAGTTTCTCAAATTCTCAAGTAAAGACCAAATAGTGTGTGGAAAGAAAAATACAAGTCAGTGGTTTATGAGCAGTGTTGGGTGTAACGCGTTACAAAAGTAACAGAGTTACAGTAATGTATTACTTTTTGCTGTAACTAAGTAATGTAACGCATTACTAATGACATTTGGGTAATATACTACCTGTTACAATTCTCAGTAACGCAGTTACAACACATTTTAACCCGGAATTAAATGGTGTTTTGTTTTTTAAGAATTCACTAACATCGCGAGACATTCCGACACCAGAGAAAAAGTGTGTGGGTAGATTAGTAAGCCTCGTGGTTACCCTTCTGTCGGGTGTTCTTTTCCCCATAATGACCGCCTCGCTGCACATTATCCCGCTTATTACACGGCCATACTAAACAAACTACAGAGCCCATTCCGTGTCCTGTTATTGTTTACTTCCTGTCTGCCTTCTTCTGGTGATTTATCTGACGTCCAGCGCTCCGTCTTTTAACCTCTTTTCCTTTCTCTTTCTTGATCCTCCTTAGCAACCTTCATTATAGTGCTTGACAGTGGTCTGTATGACTGGATTAACAACGTGTCACATGTTAAGAATTTAAGATCAGAATCGAGTATTCAACTAAACCGTGTAATAAAAGTAGTTAGTAGCCTTAATGGCCTACACATTGCCCTTCACTGGATGTATAATGAGCTGCACTAAACCACATTTTAGCATTTAAAATACCTAGCCATTCTTTTGAGGTTATTTTGGTAAAGTAATATAAAAGTAGTGTAACTCATTACATTTCAAAGACAGTAATATTGTAATGTAACTTATTACTTAAAAAAGACAGTAAAATGTACTATATTACATTTTGGAAGTAACTTGCCCAACACGGTTTATGAGGGAGTCAAAGTTGTTGTATGTCCCTCCCTGTAGGTATTGTAACAGTCGTAATCTGGCGGTGAACCCTCAAGGAGGCAACACTGGGCTGGTGGGGGGCAGCGTACCGGTTTATGATGAGATCATCCTCTCCACTGCCCTTATGAACAACATCCTCACCTTTGATAGCATCTCCGGTAAATACTGAACTTTCTAAATGAGCTGCCTGCCTCCCAAAAAAGTTGTATTTATTTACAGCATTTTGTGTATTTTATTCCTCCTTCATCAGGCATTCTGACCTGTCAGGCAGGCTGTGTTTTGGAGAACTTGTCTCTTTACCTGGAGGACAGAGACTACATCATGCCTCTTGATCTGGGGGCAAAGGGCAGCTGCCACATTGGGGGAAACGTGGCAACGAATGCAGGTGGGCTCCGTCTGCTGCGATACGGCTCCTTACGTGGGACTGTGCTGGGTCTGGAAGTGGTGAGTGGAGTAAACGAATGACCAACAAATATTGTATTAAATAAGGATAACATACTTAATCTAATGTTTGTGTGTATGTTTCATGTACAGGTGTTGGCAGATGGGAGAGTGCTGGACTGCTTAGTCACTCTGCGGAAAGATAACACAGGATATGACCTCAAACAGCTGTTCATAGGGTCAGAGGGCACACTAGGGGTCATCACTTCAGTGTCCATCCTCTGTCCACGCAAACCTAAATCTGTTAATGTGGTTTTTCTTGGTAAGATTCTTTTAATTTGTCATTAATATTGGCAAAGAATTGCTAAGCATGTGTGCAGTTGGAACGTGTTTTGATTAATGTCAAAAATAGGTTTTGTTTATAGATTATTAGGTAACATATTGTATTCTATTAGGCTGTGAAACCTTTGAGCAGCTGCTGAAGACCTTTCAGCTCTCCAGAGGCATGCTGGGAGAAATTCTGTCAGCCTTTGAATTCCTGGACAGTGAGTGTATGAGGCTGCTGAATACGCACCTAAAACTACGCAATCCCATCTCTGGTAGGTACACACTCAAATACACACTTAGTTCTTAGTAGTAGTGGTTAAAGCAATACAAAACACACACACGACAAACTCTTTCCTTCCTCCTGCAGATTGTCCATTCTACGTTGTCATTGAAACATCTGGATCTGACTCGACACATGACGGAGAGAAACTCCACCATTTCTTAGAGGAGGCGATGACGTCATCGTTGGTGACTGATGGGACTGTGGCAACTGAAGACTCAAAGATAAAGGTAGTGTCTCTAATCTACAACAAATTGGAAATACAGTGTTGTTTCTGGTCTTTTTATTAGATTTATTATTGACAATATGTTAAATGATCACTCTCAATCGTCTTGCTTGTTTATAGTGAATATGTCAGCACTGAATCATCATGGTTTATTGCACTTTAAGCATCAGCTAAATGTAATGTTTTCAAAGTTATTTAAACATTTTTTTTTGACAAAACATGCTTTAACTTTTTGGGGACATACTATACTATGTATTTCTTCCAGCTTTTTTTTTACACACTGCTTTTAACAAGCTATACTATGTCTTTTTTCCCAAATATAATTTAGAAAATCTTTGGATTTGAGCAAGTTATCAGTTGTATAGCAGTGTTGTTTAGTTAATATCTCTATATGGACTCAATAGTCAACCCATATCCTCACCTTGGTTTAGATGGAAATGACAACGTGCGATGAACTTTTCAGGCTCTGTGGTCGATGCGAGAGCGTGTCACGGAAGCGCTGACTCATGACGGCTTCACCTACAAGTACGACATCTCACTTCCTGTGGAGAGGATCTACCAGCTGGTGACGGACATGAGGGAGCACCTGGGGGACCGAGCCAAGAGTGTGGTGGGATACGGACACGTAGGTAAGACCAGAGGATGGAAATCTATATATTTATTGGATGGGGAAAAGGTGGCCTGCTAACATGAGATACAATTGGTCCCCTATAACCGCTCAATCTACATCATGAAAAACATGTGCATTCGAGTGCAGTATTTAGGTGGTTTTGGACACCTCACTGTTCCACCATTTCTTTCCATCTGTACTTTAAGGGGATGGAAATCTCCACTTGAATGTCACCTCTCCTGCCAAAGACCCCGCTCTTCTGGCTGCCATCGAGCCCTTCGTGTACGAGTGGACGGCCAGCTGTAACGGAAGCATCAGTGCAGAGCACGGCCTGGGCCTGAAGAAGAGGAACTACATCTACTACAGTAAACCCAGCCAGGCTGTGGCTCTGATGGGGAACATCAAGGCCATGCTGGACCCTAAGGGCATCCTCAACCCGTACAAGACTCTACCAGACGACCTTAAATGACCCCAACTGTCTCACTGCTGTGGGGTTAGAGGTTATGTATACAGACATAGCTAAAGCATTTTAGCTATTAGCATATTTGATGGAAGATCATGCCCTAACTTGTGATACCCTTTCACACATTTAACGCAGGTGGTGCAAGTCGTGTCATTGTTGTCTGCAGAGAGTACTACTTTCAGATTAACATCCACTTCAACTAGCTGTTAAATGTGTACTGTAGAAGTCTCTTAGAATATCACAAGTGATGTTAATGCTAAACATTAAGAACTACCTCGGCCACTCACACTGAAAGAGTGTGAACCACTCCTTATTCCATTATTTTTCAAATTATATTTTCAGTCTAATGCAACAGTCCTGCCATTACTCCTGCCTGAAGGTTATAATCAGGGCTGCACATAACTGGTGCGCAGGTGCGCATGCGCACCTCCGCCAAAAAAAGAGCACCGGGTCATTTGATAAAAGGCGCATTTGCCCACCAACATTGAGAGAGAGAGAGAGAGGGAGAGAGAGAAGGGAGAAGAGAGAAAGAGAGAAAGATATTTGCGAGTTGCATATGAAGTCAGGGCCGGCCCGTGGCACTGGCGTTTTAGATGTTCGCCTAGGGCGCCAGATCTGTGGAGGCGCTGCGCTGGCAGTTCTGGGAGGGGAAAACATTTTTTTGACCGTTGGTGCTCATCCTAATTTTCGGCCTTGATGTAACAATATTCATTATTCAATTAAGTAAATGTAACACCCTTTTCACCCCGGTTACACGTTTCATTTGCCCTGTACGATGGGCGCTGCAAGTGATTAAAATGGGGGATGTTTGCTTATCTGGCGCCCGCAGCTCACAGCCAAAGTGCGAGTGAGCTAGGGAGCGTGCACCGGTTCCGGCGCTGTTGTTATTAGAATCTGGTGCTAGCTGCTCTAACGGATATAAGAAGAAGATGTGTCTCCAATAATGTGGAGGGAGAGTCCTCTCCAATCAGACTGAGAGGCTGATAACTACAGCTCAGTGAGGTAAGGACTCTGAGTGTTTAGATAGTTCACTTTAGTCTAAGTTCAAACGGTTTGGTCACAATTTATGTAAACACATATTTCCAAGGCACTCCTTTATAATTATTGGGATAAACAGGTTTGAAATCATTCCAATGTATACTATAAGACAGTAACCAAAAATATCCTTTAAAACTGGAGATAAAAAAATGCATAAATAAATAAATGTTAAGGTAAAATAAGATATGAATGAACAACACAGATAAAATAAGTTACATTCATTTGTTATTGGCTATGGTAGGTTATTGGTTATGTTCACATACTTATTTGATTACATCCACTTGTCTAAGATGCCAACAGAGACTTTCCACCCAAAACCAGCTGTTGACTTGTGGATGCAAGCAGCTAATCACAGACTCAACCAGAGAGAAAGAAGTAGGCCTACATCATCAGCTACCATGTCTGACAGAGAGGAAGACAGTGATGAGAACAGTCAGGAGGGTAGTGATGACAGCTTGTAGGATTACTGGTCGTGCTAATGTTGTCTTGTGTTCACCTCTGCATGTGTGTTCTGTGTTCACCTCTGTATGTGTGTTCTGTGTGCACCTCTGCATGTGTTTTCAGTGCCGTGTGTCTGGCAAATAAAGTCCAGACCCCCTCAAAAGTTACGATTTATTTCATTTTAAGGATGAGCACCAAGCAACATCTCCAGGTGCTCCTTTGAGAACCAGGGCAACAAAGTTATGTGCACCCCTGGTTATAATGTTCAGTGTCCTTGATATTTTGTAAACTGAATTATGCAGAGGTTTTTAAATCTACCCTAAGTGATATAAATGGGAAATAAAATAAACACTTCAGAATCACAAACTGTTTTAATAGACTGCATTAAACTGGCAACTGAGTGTATATACTTTATAAACTCATATCAGAGGCAACAGTGCAGTAAATGTTTTATTACATATAAAAAAAGACAAAGCAACATTTTCCCAAAACAAACCCAGCTTTGCAAAGATCTGTAACCGCACACATACGCAACTTCATCTGTTTTTAAATACATTTTGAACAAATGTTGTTTTTGTTTGTTATTCAGGCAATTGTGTGGCATGATGGGAGAAGAGTTGTTATGGAAGCCCTCTTTTTCTGAAACAAAACAACTTCACCTCCAATATTCTTTTAAATGTCAGCGGTACAAGCTTTCCTGGATTCCTCTCTGATTGCAGGGAGGATCATACCCCTAGGGTGGGTCTCACTTCGGTTATTTTTCATTTCCTCGCTCCTCGGTATCACCGGAAGTTGATTTGTCTGCGCCATCTTGAGTACCGTCCCAGTGGCCTTATTTTTGCCGGTAGGATCGAGGAGTTATAACGGAGGAGCGATAATCGAGGAACTACCAGACCATCCTCCGGTGAAATCCTGACACTCGCCCCGCCCCCTTACTGTGTATCACTCACTGATTGGACGATGCAGTGCATGCACGATCAGCTGTGCGGCATCATCACAAACGGACCTCGCTTCACGTGACGCTCCGGAGGAAACGACGTCCCATTGCTCTTAAAACTCATTTCCCTGCTTCTCGTGGTTTCCTTGCGTCCTCCATGCTTCCCTGGTGGGAGGGACTAGACGCAGGGAAACGACGCAAGTGAGGGACGCAAGGATTTCATTTAACCGAAGAGAGATGCAGCCCTAGTATAAAATACAGACTAATGCCTATTGGCAGGTACTTCCTGTTTATCTATTCCTGGGACCATGAGGGTAATCAAGTATCTGTAATACCGTATCCTATTTCTTAAAAATACAACAAACAAGCAAGAAACAATTTCCTACTTTTTCCTCTCCATTTCTCAACAAATAATTTCTTACTAGTTCCAATAATGACAGTATGTGTGCAGAGAGTCCAGTAGAGTAATGCCTATATATGTATAACGTCAGTTTCACCTACCATCAGTCTTACATGTCCTCAGTAGTGTGGTAGCCTTGGAGTTTAATAAATATCATAGCATTTAAAAACAAACAAATGTAGTTCCATTGGCTCGTTTCCTCCTGTAAGTGAACATATCTGTGTCTTTGTGGCAATAGTTGGCATGTTTTGGTAAAGCTAAATGAGTGAAACACTTCTGAGCAGAATGCCACGAAACACTGGCTGGGGATCAGAAATTGAATTGTAAGAAACACTCGGTATGTAGACACACTGCATACCGTGTGTGTGTGTGTGTGTGTGTGCGCGCGTGTGTGTGTGTGTGTGTGTGTGTGTGTGTGTGTGTGTGTGTGTGTGAGCAGTCTTACGCGGGCATTAAAGCATTGGGATGGAGTACTACAATATGCCATCCATGTTCTTCACACTCAGTAACAGTCTGTAGTTCAGGTCAGTGCGAACACAAGGTGTGTGTGTCCTGTAACAAAGCCTGGCGTGTTCAGACAGAGCCGGTCCAAACGTCTGTGAGCTCGTCAGAGAGAGGGGTGTCAACCACAGAGCAGGGTGAGGCTGGGGGACACCTGAATAACTCTTTCCTCTGGCCCCCCTTTATCGTCCTTTTTCCTTTCACAAACACGGGGCTCTTCTCTGAGCCGGCCAGTGAGATCAGGCAGCTTCCCATGATGCTCCTCCCCACCCCTCAAGACCCCTTGCCCTTCTCCAGAGAGCTGTGGATCTTGTCCAGGGTCTTCTTGATGCGCAGCGCTGTGAGCCGTGCAGAGGGGTTCTGGTACCAACACTCCTTCATCAGTTTCACCAGAGCAGAGAGAGTCTGAGAGAGGGGAGAAAAGACGACCATCAAACACGACATGCAATAGAAGGAAGGTTCCTATCCCCCAAATCTAAATCAAATATGGGACAGAAAACACTCATGTACAGAGCCATGGTCAGCTGGAATTCTTTACCGGTCCATATCATTCAGGAACATTCTCAAGTACATTTCAAAAGGTTGCAAAAAAAGTATCTAGTAAAATTGAACTGTGTCTAGACTCTGTATTATTATGTACAATTATTAGTCTTTTTTTGTTTGGCTAAAATTGGACGACCATTTTAGTTTCCACTTCATATAGCACTTATATCACAATTATATTTTTATTATATCACAATTATGAGCTGTTTTATGTGTGTGTGTGTGTGTGTGTGTGTGAGGACCCCAGGAATGCTCATGCTAGTGCTAATGGGGATCCTAATAAAGAATAAGAATAAAATGAAGATGATATTTAAGGATGTCATGCAGAGATGCACATTGAGAGGAAACTAGTAACTACGGGTGACAGCAGCTTTTCGATTTTTGAAGAGCATTCTGGGTATTAACGGGGTCTGGTTATCTCACTTGCATCAGTTTATTTGGCCTTTATGTAATCGCATTGAATAGTTGCAAAGTACACTGATGTGAGGGACCAGTCATGTTTCTTAAGGTTTATGGCTTGTTTTAATATAATATTACATTTAGATGTTATAGTTTGTTTAATATAATTTTGGAGTATGTCATTAAAAAGTAATAAGAAGGCCTTATTATGGTATAGTATGTCGGATGGTAATAGTATAGTATTCAAATCTCAAAAATATCATGGTATATAACACTGTCATAGTATCCAGATTTTTTTTTTAATAAAAGGAAGGTCATAAAAGAGTCAGAGTAAATACATTGATTAAATAGAGTAAAAGACTAATACTTACAGGGTCAGAGAACCAGCGGTTAGGAATGAAAGGCCTCTGCTGCTCCACACACACCACCTTCCTCATGTCCTCGAAGCTGGGGTCATTTGGCACCAGATCGTAGAACGGAGGCTTGTACTCCTCAACAATACCTGAGGGGTCACATGAACATTATAGAAATGAGTTAAAGTAAATAGAGTACATGGATATGCAAGTGGCAAATTAGGTATCTCTGAACAGCCGAGCCTGAAGCTGATATGCAAATACATGTTTATTAAGTCACAGTCCTCAAAATGCACAGAATGACTCACCATTGCTGTATGTGCGTCTTGCTATCTCCCACAGCACCAGCCCAAAGGCCCAGATGTCCACCCTCTTATAGGCGTCGAAGCAGTCGATCTGAATGCTCTCGTCCAGAACCTCGGGGGCCATGTAGCGCTTGGTGCCCACCTTGGGGTTGTTGCCCACATCCAGCTGGTTGTCTGCCTGCGAGTGGGTCACAGCCAGCCCTGCAACAGCCAGTTACACACAGCACTTTAGTCAACCTTAGAAACAATCTGGGCACATTCAGAAGTTCTGGCATGGATACACACCAGCTGAAAGGTGGACGTAGAGATGCTTTGAAAAACACAATGCTGGTTTCCAAACATTACAAAATGCTCAGAAGAAATAGATGCATTATTTACAATTATGACTTACATTTTTTAAAAACACTTTACCATGACATTTTTATGAATTACTGTACTATGACTTTTTACCATGTGATCTAACCCCTCTGTAATTGTGTATCGATGTCATCTCTGTCAAATGTGTGTGGGAATGTATTATATATGTTTGTAATCAATTCATCTGTTAATGCTACTTAAACATGTAGCATACAGAGACAAGTCCCATGGTTAGTCTGATGCATAAAGTACTAGACAAAGAGCTCCAACAGGAAGGGACTGAAATCCCAGAGACGACCAGAATAAAAGTGGTAGAAATAAAAGTAAGATCCTGTCTGACGGACTGACCGAGGTCTGCGATGCAGCAGCGCAGCTCCTTTGTGACTAAGATGTTTTTGCTCTTCAGGTCTCTGTGTGCGATGGCCGGTTTCCCCTCTGTGCCGAAGATCTCCGTGTGCAGGTGCACCAGGCCGCCGGCTATCGACGCAGCCATCGCTAAGCCCTCTGACGTCTCCACGGCAACTCGTTGCAAGTAGTCATAAAGTGAGCCGTTCTCATGGTAATGGGTGATGAGCCACAGCTGGGTGCTGGAGTTGCGAGACGTCATGTCGGACGCCATGAAGCCTGGGAGAAGAGACAGCATCGTGAAAATATGTTCTATTTGCGGTTATGTCAATCGTGGTACCTATCAGTGTGATGACGCTGGATTGCATGATATGATACGCTTTTTAATGTGTTCACCTCCACAGAATGTGTCACTGTTTCAAACATGAAGTTGTTAAGATACAAGGACATTGAAGGGATTTGAGATGTATCTACAACAAGGAAATTGTATTATAAACTGTATTCTTGGAAACAATATTAAAACAAAACACTCTGAAAGGAATGAATGCAGCAGAGTTGGCAATATGACCTAAAATAAACATCCATTATTTGTGGCAGGTGTTTCATCATGGTGAAAATGATACGCAACACATAACTCTACCTCTTTTTACTCTATTGGTAATGCTAGGCGACATATCTTACAACGGAGAGATGGATGTGTTTATTAGCTCCAATTAGAAATGAAATTGAGTTGCAGTCGAGACATGTGGAAAATCGCATCTTTTAAAACCAGAAACATGTTTTTGCTTGTTTAATTGTTCTAACAAGGTCTAACTGGTCTAACAAGATCTAACAGTTTAGTGTGAAGCAGACTCACCCAGTATGTTTTCATGTCTTAGCAGCACAGTGTTGTAGATCTCCGTCTCCCTGAACCAGGACTTCTCATCTCTAGAGGAGAAGATTTTTACAGCCACGTTCTCGCCCTGCCACTGGCCCCGCCACACCTCCCCGTACCTCCCTTTGCCTGGGAGAAAAGAGGGAGGAGGAACACGTCAGAGTGTGCATTCAGATTTGTTTTGGCTACATTGACACTGCAGCTGACTGAACACATCGGATATTTCCACATCAACAGCACACAGCCACATTTTTCAAATTCCAAACTGGTACATCTGTACAGTGTGCAAACAACAACTCAAAGCATGTGACCTGCATACTTTCATTTGAGGGTTCAAAAGGAAATTTGCCAGAGCTGCCAAGAATAACTCTTAATTCACCAACCTTAATACCTTAGTGTCATCATTGAATACAGTGTACACAATACACAAAGGAACACATGACCGGTGTTTATACAGTTGCTCCATATAATACAAAGATGTGTGACCTATCATTGTTGCCCTTGCATCATCTGTTTGACATCACTGTCAGATCTGTATCTTCATACGGGTTTGATCCTAGAATAACTATGTGCAGTCATCCGAAACACTGATCATATCTACTGCAACCTGAAGCTGAGCTGAGGCACGAATTACTGGACATGTGCATGAGCTGACGACCGGCCGCTTGTGGGTTTTTGTATAAATCAGTTTTGTATAAATATTTTGTCAGTTTTGGCATTAAATTACATTAAAGCATAGAGTCAATAAACAGGACAGCTTTTCTATATCTTTTAGTGAGTTGAGGTGTGAGATTAATTTATATATAATCTATCTTTATTTTTATATGAAAATGTCAACCTATGTTGAAATAGTTTTGAGGTAACGGGATGTGAGAAATACCCAATAAAGAAAAAGGGGGAAATCAAAGCAATATGATGAAATCAGTTTGTCAGTCAGAGACCTGAATCCACCCTGCAGATGAGTGTGCTCTGCAGTGTGATAAACGTACCGACACACTCCATCAGGCTGATCTGCCGGGCCACGGTTCTCTGCACGAGGAAGGGGAGACCCGACCCGCTGCCCGATGTGCACGAGTGATCCAACAGGTCCTGAAGACACACAGATACCACATTAGATCCTTATGTCATGATCTTTAGGAGGAAACATAAAATCATTTCTGGGAGGGGAAAACACCTTGCCAACAGACACAGTTAAAACTAGGAGTTAACGGGGACCTCTCTTTACTTAGTAGTGAAACTCTTTTAATTGGTTCAACAAGAACCTGTCTTTATCTTACCGCTAAAGTGCTGTCTCCCACATTGGAGGTGATGAGGCCGTCTATGGCTCCCTGCTCATTGTCAAACTCCTGCATCCTCTGCAGACGGCCGTGGTGGAGCCTCCTGCAGGCCAGAACTGACACCACAGACAGCAGAGCCAGCACCACCACCGGACCGAGCACAAAGAGAGCCAACGTCTCCACGCGGTACCGAACGGGCTCCCCTTCTGGGGCTGTGGACAAAGGGGGAAATAGGGAAAGATGATAAGATGACAATTAATTGATGTGCTAAATGAAGCATGGTATGATCGTATATCAACCTGTTGGCAGCAACGACATCAGCAAACTCCTGGTGTTGTTGTTGTTGCACATGTCCTGGGAGCAGCAGAAGATGGCTTGTCTGAAGGATGGAGCTGTGGAGCACTGCAGATGGATGTTATCCAGCCCCACCAGGCAGCCGTGTTTAAACACCACCCCGCTGCTGTCCAGGTTTATGGAGGAGAAGCAGCGGGTACCGGGGCACTGGGTGGCCTGGGGGCATTTTGGGCAGTCAAACAGACACGTCAACTGTCCATCTGTGGAAGAGAGGACATGAGTTCAGCATGTAGTCGGGCTGATTTGGAGAACATATACAGTGTTAACGTAATTATGGCAACAGAAAGACTTCCATCTAACAAAATAGCTATGAACTAAAAGACAGACAAGCAGCAATGCTCTGGTCAGCCTTGATTACATGTGTAGATGCTACAGGATGTTTATTTTGAAAATTGTGTATTTTTTATCTTTTTGTTATGGATGCTACTTAATAATAATAAGTTGTCTTTGGCTCTTTTCTGCTGTAATCAATGTAAATGCCCCCTCTGTGGGACGAATAAAGGTACTCTGATTCTCATGAGTGTGAGTCTTGTACTACATGAAAAATGAATCCTATAGTAGCTTTTAATAAAAATGAATCAAATAACAAATCCTCCAGTTATCCTAATTATGATTTCATTCATTAACCAAGATGTACCAAGTGTATGATTGTCTGTTAAGCCACACTTTTCTTTCAGCGCTTTTGTGCAGTAGATTCATTCCTTTTGATGCAATGTATCTTAAAGCTGCAGTAAGCCAAAGTATTCTATTTACACTTTTAATGAAAAATATACGTTTATTTTGGCTGTTACGTAACTATAGATCTAAGTTTTATCCAGAAAACTCAGTGAACCTGGTTTTTCTGTTCGACTCAATTAAAAATAAATTATTCATTCATTCATTTTGAAGATGCTTCTGCCAAAGAAAAACATATACAGTCCAGGACACCACAGACAAAGGAACGAGGGCCTTGTATAAACAGTGAAACATGAAGTTGACAGACAGTAGAGGACAGTACCTGAGCCTTCAGCCGATGTGTGCAGGGCCTGCAGCAGGAGGAGGTGGAGGAGGAGGAGGAGGAGGAGGAGAGGGACTCTGCACCGACCCATGATTCAGTGCGCTGACAGGGAGGAAGAGAGTTCAGATGAGTACAGGAGGATAATTACATTTAGCCTCTCTACGTTTCCTTGTGATCGCTGCCAAGGCTTCAGGCAGAAAGGAAGCAACAACTTATAGAGGCTGAATGCAAATAGTCCTGTCTGTAGCTGTCAAAGCTTTATTTAAAACACATGACTGATGATGGCATACACTGCAGTTAGTTCAAAGACAGCCGCATGTCATTTAATAACATTTATCATGAAAGAAGTTACATCTATTTACCTTAGACAAATATAATCATGTGCTTACTATTACGTATTGCTCTTAAATAGTTTCTCTACAGGAGCTGTTCCTGTGCGAGGTAACTATCAATGTAGCATTAGCAACAACTAGCATAATAACACAAATCCTGCTAACATCGAACAATAACACCTTCCATTTCAATGTCACAGCCTCCAGTTTTGGTGATAGGTACATGACCAAAAAAGCAACCCTTCTTTGTCAACCTCTCATATCGTGGGCCTGGTTGTTTGCTGTAGCTAACAGGCCATTAACAAGCTGTTTTATTAGCCGTCCACAGGCGACTCTGAGGCGCCACTCGGACAGACGGCTGCCCGGCGCTGCTGCTGTTAGCCCCGCAAGCTAAGCTAGCTACAGAGCACAAGGCACCGCTTGGAGCCGAGGACCCTCAAAACAGAGCGATACAAAAAACATCCACCTACCTGGCACACACCACATACAGTCCTCTAACTCATTATGGGATTGTTGTGTATTCCTATATTACGTTTAAAGATTCGTATTAGTGTTATTTGAGAGCAGTAGCAGAGAGCAGAGGACCACAGCCCAGCCCACTCTGTCTCAACCACACATGACGTCACCAAAACATTACAACCGAGATGCATTGTGGGGCAGGGGAGTACTCCAACAGGTTGTATGATACACATATCCATATTATACATATATATATACACATATGATATGTTTTTATATCATTTATAAGTGTTTGCTATAAAGTAAATTCACGAACTGTGTCTATATTCACTGTGTTTCAATGTTTTGCATCACAGGTATATATATATTTAATTTAACTACATAAGAAGTAAACAAAAACATAGCATTTCTGAATTCAAAAACCTTATTCAAGTGCAAGTACACAAGTAGCCTATTAACAGAACAAATAAATCAAACATCAAAAGGTATTCAGTGTGCAAAATCAGAATCAGGTTTATTACCAGGTAGGTTTACACGTACGAGGAATTTGACTTGGTGTCATGGTGCATAAAAACAAGAATAGAAAACACAGATAAGGAACTAGAAAAATATTTAAAATAATAAAAAATATAGTAAAAATATAACGGTATTTACATTGCGATGGAATGGAATAGTAGGAATACAATATGGAATACAAATCAGCAGTAATACAACATATTGTTGTGCATTGTGTGCATTCATGTAATGCATAGAGTCTGCGTGAGGCTGAGGTAAAGTGTCGGGGGACGTTGTTAATGAGGCCGCTAGCGGAGGGGAAGAAACTAATAACAAATAACACTGTTTCAGAGTTGTGTGTAATAATAATATCTTTAAGAATAGGTTGCTCAAACCTTATGTAAAACACTTTCTGATTAGTAAGTAATACCTGTCTTACAGTTTAAGCAGGGAATACGTTAAGTCAGGCCACAATGCCTGAAAGAAACACCACTTCCACTTAATTTAAAAATAAATTAGGCCTAATTCACTTTGGAAAAAAGAGCAGTGGTGCTGTTTCAAAGAGCAAATGTCCTGCATTTATTCAGCGGGTCTGTATTTTAGATCCTCAGCAACTGAACAACATTGATTGTAATCATGGTTTACCACTTCATTGAAACAGTTCCTTTGATTGCTCCCACAGTATTTCATCAGAATATTATTTGACCGGTTGATAACTGCTTTCTTGTTCTGTCCACCCAAACCTAAAAAAAGAGCACTCCTTCTCCTAAACTAAGACTTCAGGAAAACTAAGTGACCTTTCATGTCCGGAGCAATACGTTAATTTCACTTGTCAACAAACTCTACCTGTACTTAATTTGAGGTTTTCTCAGTGGCTGTTCAGGAAAATGTGTGCACAGAGAGAGAAAATTGAGAATTGTATCAAGTAGCAGATATGTCTTCCCTCATACAATAGCCAGTGCTGTTTGTTCTTACTTACCTGGGGCTTTCGTCTCCAGTGTGTCGGAGCGAGACGCAGCCGGTATCTGTTCTCCAGGAGAAAGGCTCCAGCACAGAGACACATTGTCCAATGCTTTTTTAATTAAAGACCCTGGGTCAACACTCTGTGCCAGGTGACCTGAACTGCTCCCGGACGTATGTCTGCCACTATTCCTCCTGTGATACGTCTCAGTGGGTAATTAGAGGGGGGAAATGCTATACTGCTATCATGAGATGGAGGAAGGATTATCCACTAAGGACTTCAACTTAAGAGGAGGGGACAGTGGAATAATGTAATGTTTTCTTCCTTCTACATCCAGCCCACCTGCTTCATTCTCCCACCTTTTACCCTCTCTCCTCTTCTTTCTCCCTTTCTGTCTCAGGACCAGGTTACAAGAGAGGGAGGGTTATAGCTGAGTGACTTTTTGTTCCTATGATATCCACCTGCTCTTCATCTGTGTTGTATTAGAGAGATTGTCCCAAGCAGGTTTTCTACCAGAGCAAAAATGGATCGTCTAGAGAGAAGACTGACGGTAGCTTTCCTCCTCCTCCTGCCTCTTCTGTCCATAAGCTGTGCTGCACATCAAAAAACAACAGGTACAAAACAACCTCAACTTGCAGATGTAATAAAAACGTTGGATACTTAACTTAACTTAGGTGCATGTTTAAATGTATGCTTCACTCAAGATGACACACTGAATAACACACTTGCAGATGCAGTGTTTGTTCTCTTCTACAGCTTGAATTTGCAACTCTTCCCCACTGTTTATTTCAGTCTCCTGGTGTGTGTTGTCTGACGCTGAAGAGCAGAAGTGTCTGGATTTGGCCGGGAACGCCACAGCTCGGAATATTCGAGGAACTTTGGAATGTGTCCGTGGTGAGGACACCAAAGATTGTTTAGACAAAATCAAGGTACGCAAAGAAACTGGGATGGGAAATCATATTGATCAGTCTGCATTACACAAAATGAATATTTTTCCTTCATTACTCAAATCAGCAGTTCTTCAGGACGATTCTGTTTCTTTATTTGTTGTTGGTCACATTTAGTTATTCTTCAGAATCACCTATAATGTATCTATATGGTCAAAGAGTACCAGATACTTACTTTCAAAATGACCTATGTTGAACTACACAGAACACACAAAACAAACAGCTTCCATAGATTTTGCAATTCAAGACAATAGTGTATATTTAATAATGACAGAATAAATGTGTCTTTGTCAGGATGGGAAGGCGGATGCAGCCTCCATGTTCGCAGATGACATCTACGCTGCCGGCCTCTGCCATGGCCTGGAGCTCGCTGCAGGAGAGTCCCACAACGGAGAGGGTAAGTCACTGGTTTGAGCTTTGCAGCAGGTAACACTGGAAGCACTAAAGCATCAGCAGTTAACTATTATAAGTCTTGTAAGGTCATGGTTGTGCCTGAAAAGTGTGTTCAGGTTGATAGAGCCATATATAGAGATACATACATGGTTCACTGTTGATATGTTCATATGTTCTGTTCTTGATATTTTTTTTACTGTTTATATATATATTTGCTGCACATATTTTATTACATTTTAAATCCACGTGCAATGCTTGTCTACATGCTGCTGTGACAAAATAATTTCCCAAACTGGGATCAATAAAAGTTTATCTTGTCTTATCTTATATATAGTGTGTAGACATTTCATTCTCAGAGTAGCATCACTTTGTATTGTTATTATTCCTTCTTATCTTTCTCCAGATGGCTATAGCTACTACGTGGTGGCGATGGCCCGCCGCTCCTCCTCAGACCTGTCCCTGCTGGAGATGCATGAGCGCAGCTCCTGTCACCCCGGCATCCGCACCACCGTGGGCTGGACGGTTCCCATCGGATACCTGGTCAACACCTCGCAGATCAGCATTGGGGAGCAGTGTAACTTTCCCAGAGGTGAGACAGAGCAGGGTGAGGGGGAGGTGAGGTGAAGCGGGAAAGGGGTGCAAGTGGAGTTGTGTGTCCATGTGAGGAAGCTTTATGAGAGGTTCAGAGGGAGGAGGCAGTGATGTGGAACCAAGGGTGAAGGGATGGAGGTAAGAGGAGACGAGGCAGTTAGAGAACAGTGCTTTTGTCTCTGTAAATCACAGTATGTGTGTGTGTGTGTGTGTGTGTGTGTGTGTGTGTGTGTGTGTGTGTGTGTGTGTGTGTGTGTGTGTGTGTGTGTGTGTGTGTGTGTGTGTGTGTGTGTGTGTGTGTGTGTGTGTGTGTGTGTGTGTGTGTGTGTGTGTGAGGGGGGGGTAACAATGAACAGACATATTGGAAAAGAGCAAGGAAGCAAGATTGAGAAAATCAATACATTTTTTAAGGGGTCAACAAACCCGATGAACCTTAAATGAATTGATTCCACTTAGAAGTGTTGTCTTCATACCAAAAGGCTGATTTTGAGCTATATTGATTTTTAGAAACCAAAATGCATCCAAAGATGTAAAAAGTCAGCCTCAGGTTAACACAGCATTATTTCCCCCAGTTCTTATGATGATTTTAACCAGTTGATTAAGAAACATATTATACCTTTAATGAATACAACTTTATGTTTGCTATACCCATTTATTAATTGTTTTAATGAGTTTGAGGCTTCGAGACACAGACAGGGTAGTACAGTAGTGTTGCTTTGTATTGAGAGATGAACCACCTCTTTTTTCATGTGATTCTTTGACAATAAAAAAAAGGTAAAGAAATATAGAATAATACCAAATGTATTTTTCGAAATGTGCTGCTTACTTACAACAAAATATATTCAGTCTTCACAATTCAAAGTGTTCTACCCTTCTTTTTCACACTCCACTTGTCTTGAATAGACTTTAAATCATTTAGTGTAATTTGAGGGGAGTTGAGGATAAGTTAAAAGTGGCTAATTTGAGAACTGGCTTTTTAATTAAAAAGGAATTATCCTCCTTTAGCCTTTTCCTATTATAACTCGTTCTTTGTCTTTTCCCCCAGCCGTTGGGAACTTCTTTGGTTACAGCTGTGTGCCGGGTGTTAAGGATGTGCAGCACGACCCCAAAGGAAACAACCCCAAGAACCTGTGCGAGGCCTGCATCGGAGACGACAACGACCGACACATCTGTGCAAACAACCCACGAGAGAGACACTACGGAGAGTCCGGGGCGCTGAGGTAACACACCGATACACAAATATAAAAAAATTACACGTCTAATGTAAATAGACGGCTTCAAAACATAACCACAACAGCAAAAATAAAAACTCAATCTAATACAAATTCCAACAGAATCAATCAAATGGCAATTAAATAGAAGCATTATACATTTAAAAAAGTAAAATATAATATAATTGTGTATGAGATATACACAGTAAAGAAAAAGTTCTGTTTGAATTGGCACCCAAAGGTGGAGTCATTTTTATGACCTCTGTCTCTGTGTCCCCCCAACTTTATTTCTAGTGGCATACTGTCTCCATAAAGTACAAATAGTAATTAAAGCAGCTTGTTTCATTGTAGCATACAGAGTAAAATAAATCAATGAAACTGTGTGTGTTTAAAGGTCTGTAGAAGTTATAACATATGAGTAACAGGCTAACCTGACTGCAATCAAAACAAACCATTTGGATAGTCAATTATTGCGTCCTGCAAGTAATTTTTTATTGTCATTGTGAGTTTGAGAGTCTAGACAATGACGTGAATGTTTTTACTACTAGTGTGGTACTCCTCATTAAAATTAGGCGCAGCAGTGCAGAGTGTTTGAGATGGGAATTAAAGCTGCTGTTTTTAATTCTTAAATTACAAGATTAGGAGCAAAAGGGACTTATGATCTCCAGAGTCATACAAAAACCCATTTGCGGATTTAATCTGTATTCATCTATTTATAGAAACACCTGATTATTAACTGGGTGTTGTGCTTTTTCTTTCAGGTGTGTGGCGGAGAACCTTGGCGACGTGGCCTTTGTAAAACACTCAACCATCTTTGACAATTTGGACGGTAACTTGCATTTTATAGACTACTCCTTGTGATATCAGTTTATAACTTAAATGATTTATGATGAGGTTAATTGGGGCCAGAAGAGAGAAAGACTGAGTGCTACTCCATGTTGAGACACAGGATGTCAGTGTTTCCCATACAATGTTTAAGAGCCATTTACAGTGTGCAAAATCCATAATGAACAGATTACAATGTGTATATGGTATAGAACATGTGTGTATTTGTGTAAGCGTAAAATACAACATACGTGAGAAACAAATATCATACAGACACAAAGGGACATACAGTACTTCATTTTTGTCCAGCAAAGTAAATGCCCTAATTCCTTGTTTGCTGCATCTGCTCCTCTGCTTTGGGCAACATCCAAAATTAATGGAGATCGTTATCACAGTCAGGCTACACAGACTCTGCTGGTACAGCCGAGAAGGAGCAGTTTGAAGCCGGCTCCACAAACACTGTGTTTAACGAAGCATGCTTTCTCATATGGTTCAGAAATGTCCGGAGTCAGAGTCATTAACGGAGGTCAAGAAAACACAGGAGGTCTGTGCTGCTGTCTGGGGGAAGAGGGAATAGCTTCAAGGTGGTTTAAATTTTGCCTCTAATTATTTATTTGGATTAATCGTTTTTTGGTGCTTCAGTTGCCCAAACAAATCTCTAAATGTAAAATGTAAAAATATGAAGTCCACATTCAAGTCACATGCAGATTTAATAAGTAGTCTGAATTGCAAATGAATGAAGGGAGATATTTCTAATGCAGTTTGGATAGAAAACATCTGTTTGGACACTGTTGAGATAGCAATGTCTAAAGAAAAGTAAAATAAATATGGACTAAATGAGTGCTTTTGTTATTTAATGTGCATTGTCCATTCTGTAATAAATAAATACAAATATATTTTGCCTGCAAATTAGGTTGCAAGGAGAGTACCATCAGTGGCAAAATGTGATTTAATCAATTGAGCAATAGGGAAACATGCATCGCTCTTTTATAAAGCTTGATTATCTCTCTTCTTATGCCCATATTCTCGCAACAAGAGAGCCCTGTAAAAGGGTCTTTAATATGTAATTGATGGCCACTTGCATATTATGCTATACTAAAAAAGGCAATAGAGACACAAAAAGAGCCTAAAGCTGCAGGTGCCTGACAAAAGGTCCTCACCAGCTGATGAAGAGCTAAGCAAATGTAACATTATCTAAGATTCATGCTTTGCTTTAAACTTCCTAAAACAGGACAGGGCAGGAGAGAGCAAACAACCATGGCCTCATATTATATCATATTAGCTTCTACACAGTGGATGTGTCAGTTTTGAGCAGCCACCGTTTTTTCTCTTATGGATTTTTCAATGAATTGCAGTGTTTGCCAGTTGTGTGTGAATGCATGAACGGGTGCAGCTGCTTTGCTAATGCAGATGTCTGCCTTACTGTAACCCCACAAAAATATTGAGGCAATTTAATAACATGCCCCTTGCCTTTTGGTCAAGGTTAGTGAGCCGGTAACCTTTGCAGCTGACAGTAGGCCAATGATCAGGCTCTGTGATCCTATTCCTTACATTTATTTTCTTATGCTTTTGATTACAGCGAGGGTTAAAAAAAACTCCGAACTCTTGACATAGCCCACACATTATCTGGAGGATGGAGTTTAGCGGGGTGGTCATTGAGCATTACTTATGAATAACATTTTGTATTTGTTGTAGGAATAACAACATACATCGTGTCCTTTTCATTTCTATTTGAATATGTGATAAAGTTATTTGAGCACGAGTCGGTTGAATTTAAATCTGACACTGCTAACTCCTCCGGCTGCCCCCCAGGTAAGAACCAGGAGTCGTGGGCGCTGGACCTGGAGCAGGAGGACCTGAAGCTGCTGTGCCCTGACGGGACAGAGGCCAATCTGGACGAATTTGAGCATTGCCACCTGGCAGCTGTCCCCGCCAACGCTGTGGTGGTGCGCGTAGAGGACAAATGTCGCGTCTGGAAGTTCCTGGAACGTTTACAGGTGTGTGTGTGTGTGTGTGTGTGTGTGTGTGTGTGTGTGTGTGTGTGTGTGTGTGTGTGTGTGTGTGTGTGTGTGTGTGTGTGTGTGTGTGTGTGTGTGTGTGTGTGTGTGTGTGTGTGTGTGTGAGGAATGACATTGAATCAGCTGTGTATATGTGTGTTATTCTCCAGATATGTGTTTGTGTCTGTCTCATATCTCTGTGGAGTCTGTGTTATCGATCAGCTCGTCTCAGAGCACAGGTTTCTGCTTCACTGTCATCCTTCTTCCTTCCTTGAGTGCGTGTGTGGGAGACGCCAGGCTGACTGATATGTCCTCTGCTGATCCCTGGCTACACACACACACACACGCACGCACGCACACACACACACACACACACACACACACACACACACACACACACACACACACACACACACGCACACACACACACACACACCAAAAGAAACACACAACGTACGCCAACGCACATCAATGCATGCCTTCATGCATTAACGTCCTCTCTCCTGCAGAATGCGTTTGGCAATGCCAACGAAGGGTTCCGCCTGTTCAGCTCAGCGGGGTACGGAAAATCCAATGTGCTTTTCGATGATGACACCCACCACCTGCAGAGGGTTCTGGGTAGTTACACCTCCTGGCTGGGCCCCACTTACACCACCGTGCTGCAAGCCTTCGAGTGTGAGGGTAAGAGTGATGGTGTCTCTATGCTTGTGTGTTTATGTGGACCTGCAAATGAAGTGTGTGACTAAGTGGTTGGAGGTGTGTGTTTTCCTTTGTGTGTATTCAATGCAGCTGCTTTCTTTCCAACAGGCTTCTGCTGATGGAGCTGGAGGAAGACATCCAGCGCCTCAACCTCCCCCTATTCCTCTGATTCTTCTTCTTCTGTTCTGCCTTTCCCAGTCTGTCTCGCCATCTCTTATCCTCTTTGCTTTGTTTCTTCTCTCTGCATTTCAACACCCATTTTCTATTATTACGTCCTCCTACAACCTAGTGGAGGACATTGTTAAGAGAGGATCATATCCTTAGAGAACTCCCCAAAGTGTCCCCAAAATTAAATATAGGTCTTAAAAGGACATGGAGAAGAAAGGGTGAGAATATAAAAACAATAAAATAGAACATGTTATGTTTATTAGTGTTGTTGTAGTTGTTTTTGTGTTTGAAGCATATTCAAAAGAGAAGATTTGGGTACAATTACCCCTTAATATAAAAATGTAAACCCATAATATTCATTTAAAAATACAAAATAACTAAATGTTCCTACCCTGTGTGTATGTCAGGGAATTGTGTCCTTTTTGTTGCATTAGTCTAAGTGTCAGTACCACCCCTACACCCCCACCCTCCCAACACAGGGTCTCTGGCACTGAACAACTGGGTGCTATTAATTTTGAGCTTAGAAGTCTCAGTTACTGTTTGAGTATATACTTTTTCCCACAGCCATTATTGCCCTAATTGGCATTCTGGCATATCATACTGTTCGTGTGTAAGTGAGAAATAGTGAGTGTGCATGTATGTTTATGTGAGTTGGTAGGAGTGCTGCTTCCCCATGGCTTGCATAGTTTAGGACTTTGGATCACTGCTTTCTGACGGCCGTGCCAGCTCTCAGTGTATTGTTACACTTTAGGAGAAACTAGATTAGGGCTTGGGTTGTCTCCAGTGACCCCTGAGTGTTTCTTTTTTTAAGTTTTGATTATTTCCTCATTTGTGACAGTTAAAACTTCCAAAATGTAGTCTTGAATACCCACTTTGTCTGTCCTGCTTTAACGCGTAAAGGAATACGTGGAATCCTGTTGCTTTTTCCTGCAATTTATCATTTATATTTTAAGATAGCTAATATTAGCGAGACGTTTACTATGAAAGAAGTGACTAACAGGAGTATGTTTGAGCCTGGTACAACATGGAGAAATTAGTCAGTGCAGTGCAATTGTCATGAAGAAGAGAATAACTGAATTAATGTACTATGAAGTAATGGTGGTTTTCAAAATAATCCACTTATTTGTCTGATATGTTTAAGGAAGTGTAATTAAAGATTCACGGTTAAATCACCAGCGTGCTTAAAGCCCCACTTGACCTACAGAATCATGTACTGTAAAATGTATAACGGACTGTAATTATGGGCTTAAGCTGTCGTCTCCATCTTTATTATTTCTCTTGCGTTCTGCACCAGAGCTCGGCAATAAACTGATAAATCGGATTAAGTTCTCCTCGTCAAACTGTGGTTTCTAACCTCATTTTACTGGAAGAAATCCAATGAGTTAGAACCAATACAACAGATACAAATACATTTGTATTTACAGTGTGACTGAGCAATTACTCTTTTTTTGAAAGAAACTAATGCTCTATTCTAAATAAAACACTGCCAGGTTTCTGTATGTGTTACATTTTGGCTCTTGTTGGCAAGAAAACTCCCCAAGTGTGAAGGTGCAAGATGGAAAACACCTTAGGAATTGAAAGAAGCGATATATTGCACCTAATTTGCAAAGGGCGTTCCTGTTGTACTCATTAAACTCTGGTTTGTACCAATGGTGCCGTCACAGCTTGAACATGTAGTGCTGCAAACCTTATTTTTTCTCCACCAATTAAATGAACGATGATAAATATAATAATCCTCTTTGGTCTTTTCTAACTGACTTCTAATTATCCTGAAACAGCTACATTTTATCTGTGTGGAAATGAATTATGCTTGATATCATCACTCTCAGTCCATCTCACACTCTCACTCTCAGTCTTTCTGCCTCTCCCACACACAAAAACACACACAAACACACACTCAAACACACACATTAAGAAATGGGCTGTTTGCTCCCTCTAGGCCATTTGGGAAAGGAAGGAGGGAGGGAAAGGGGGGAGGGATAAGGATGTAGAGAATTTGAACAAAAGGGAGGTCACACACACAAAGACCTGCATACAGAGACTCAGGTGTTCACTCAGGTGGAGAGAAGCACCTCCTAGGTAGACAGGTGAACCGGGGACACAAGACCATCATAGGTGGTCCCCAAGCAGAGATTTAAATGCTCCAAATGCCCCTGCTGGCACTGCCTCACATCTTTCACAACATTAATCCTTAAGAGGAAGTCTGTGTCTGTGACGGAGTGGTATCATTTAGTAGCGAGCAGATACTGTAGATGAAACTGCATTGCAGCAGAGTGCTGCAATCACTCTCAATCCTCAGCTCTCTGGCTGGCCATTTCGCTGTAATGCACAAATAAAAGCAACTAATGTGGCCTCAATATGGCCCTCTCAACCTCCAGGCGTGGGTTTGTGAGAGAGGAAGTTGTGAAATACCAGTGGTGGGAAGTAAGTAGTAATGTAATAATTTTGCACTTATATAAACGGCAAAAAAACAGACAATAAAAGTGAAAAAGGACTGAGGGGAAGAG